CTATCGCCAGTACACAGCGTTGTGAAATTCAGGCATTACTCAGTCAAGCTGGTCAGCGGGGGAGGAGGAGGCTGAGGAGATCAGATCATGTTTGGCCTGTAAAAAAATTTTCGGTAGTTTATTTTCCCTGTTCCAGGCTACATATATACGATGACAAAAAAAATTGCTATCTTCAAAAGTTGATCAGGGATGTCCACCCTTCTCTTCGCGTGTAGGATGCTGCAGCTGGGGTAATATTCAAGAGGAATCTTCCACATCGCTTACGATGTTCCCTGACTGGAAAGGAGTTCTTGCGCTACCGTTTCCTACTTCAGCACGTGTCACGGATTCGCAAACTCGCACGGCGTGCACATATTCAAACTATGTCTCACTGTCAGGTCGGTGAAAATGTGTTTCAAAGGTGGAGCCCTGACGTGACATCTCCAAAACTGAATATCGGCCTAGCATTCAAGCTAACTGAATCTCGGCGCAGTTCGGCGACGAGGTAGGGGGCACACTTTGCACATTCGCCTCTTCACTTTCTCCGGTTTCAAAGTCTCATTCTGGGGAAACCTGAACTCTTGTGAAGCTGGAGCAAAATCGTCGAGCCACCACGTCAAAACCTGTCAGCTTTTATAAGCTCACAAAATGGCTCCCTACATAGTCGAGTCGTCGATGAGAAGTAGCAAAAATACATAATACCCCCTTCCGCGTCGCAGAACTGCCCCTGGAACTCTTTAGAAACTCTATTATAGCCAGCGCCGAATATAGTTTGTAACATTGCAATTTGTCGGGGGCGGCGAGCGCAGCGCGGCACGAGCTCGCGTCCGGCCGCCTTGCTCTACCAATGGTGATCGAGCAATGATCGATGTAGGAAGGAATCAGCCACTGGTGGGAAGGCCGCAGGTGGGAACCGCTGATTGCGACCCGACAGGTCGTCGTGATAGAAGCGTAAGTTCCCGCATTCCATCAGAAGTTCTCCCTTCGATAGGGCGAGTCGACAGAATAGATTTTTTTCAGCTTAGCTTCCACACGTGAAATGGAAGATGGGAGCGCACTTCTCGAAAAGTACAAC